AAACAAAACAAAAAAATAATGAGGAGAGCTATAATTCTAAAATATCAGTAGCGTAAAAGACAATAGAATATCCATATTCTGGATATGTTCCAGAATGTAGGAGGTGAAAGAGACATGGAAACCTATGCAGTATTTGACCCTAAACTGGATCCTGTATTGGAAAGGGAAATATGCTATAAAGGACATGACTGAATTCAACTAACAAAATTGGATTGTTTACATTAGATGTATTAACACTGTATTATATTAGTGTTAAGTTTGTTGACCCCGATAACTGTATTGTGGCTATGTAATGGAATGTTCCTACTGAGGGGAAGTACACTCTGAAGTATATAGAATGACTATGAAGTATATAGAAGGACCATAATGTGTTTAATTTGCCATCGAAGAGATCAGGACAAAAAATTGGTGTGGGATGTGAGAGAGACAGATTTTACAGTTTTTCTTTTATAACTTGCGAATAGATTTTTAATTATTTCCAATAAAAAGTTGAGAATATGTATGATTTAGTTAAGAGGCATTTATGTGAACTAACACATAGAGCTTAGAGAATTTGTTCTAGAAGCAGTGAATTGTTTAACATACTTATTAGTTTCTTTCACATATCAGATGCCCTAAGTGAGCCTTTAGTAAATACTGGATCAAATCAATTCATAGTTGAATTATCCACTGAATGTCTAAAGTGCCAAAATTCTGTTGTTGATTGAAAAGGGATGCATGTTGAAATGCTAAATACAGGACATTCTGTTGTGAAAACATTCTTGTGAAAATGTAAAATCCTGATTTATGCTAGTTCATTCTCAAGAAGTTGTTTCAGAGAGGTGCTTAAAAGAAGCTACTACTATTTTTCTCTCAAGGGGACTTTGAAAGTGTAGAAACAATAAGAAAAGTGCTCAGGTATAAGCCCAGTGTTTGAAAGTATATACAGAAAAAAATATTTGAAAGACATATATAGTAATTGAGTACCCTCTTCCATAGACGTCTGAACTTTTATTTCTTCCAGAAAATTGTGATTTTGCATGACTCAAATCAACCCTCTCTCTTCCATGAAAAGGAAGGAAGGGAAAGAAAATATGATTTTGAACAGAATTGTATGCTAATAGTCTTTCCTGGATAAACTAGTTGGAAAATGCCCAATAACTGAATCTTCTCCAGTTAAGAAGCAAATTAGACTCATGAAAGCACTTATAACCTTGTGGAAAATTTAAAAGTATTAGAGAAAATACCTGGGTAGGACATTTTTAATCTAAGATACTTTTTTGTGTGTATGGCAAGCATCCTTACTTTCAATGTTAAAGGCCTTTTTCATCCCTGCAGTTCCAAAAGAAATTCATAAAAATTGAACAGAGCTTTAAATTGACAAGTATCTTTAAAGTCCACAAGATAGAGATACTCCTCCTTTTTTGTGTCAGTGAGTTATTATGAGAAAAAAAAGTGGTTGCAGTCAGTAGTGTATTGGACTATCTTCTAGTGGCCTGAAAGCCAGTTGTTAAAATTTTAGGAGTTTTGCACACAGATTATTAAACACAGCCATTATTAAACATTAAGTTACATAGGCTACTATTAAACACTTTACATTTAAAAATAATAAATACTCAACTGAAAGTATAAATAAGGACTAAAAGGTATAATAGATAATGTGAAATAGGAAGAAAAGGGGCAAAGGGGAAGGGGAAGTGGGAGGGGTAGGGAAGAGGAAAGAAGGGAATGGAATTAATATGAGAAAATGAAAAAATGGAAACAAAGTCTTTGTAAATAAGAAGGGGTGGAGGAGTTGAAGGGAGGGCAGGGGAATGGGGAAAAAATAAGAACCAAGAGAGATTATGTAAAGGTACAAATTTCCAATGATGATTGTCATATGGTATACTTAAAATGTACCAATAAAATTAATTTTTAAAAAATAATAAAATACTCAAAACTCATCACTTCTGCATTTTATTATAATCTGTGCTCTTGAATAATGTATCTTGTATCTCTGTGTTGAAATTCTCTGTAATGGTGTGCATCTTCCCCACCTGCATGTTCTGTGAAATCACATTGATAGTTTGAAATTAGCCATGGTAAGAATATTTACAGCACAGAAATTGGCAAATGCCATAAGTTAGGGCTCAATATATTATTTATTCATTGTCTAGACTTAAAGTGTTGGATAAAATGCTATTAATGTAAATGTCATACCTTTAGCTGTATATTGTGAATAGCTCAAAAAACAAGGATGTATTCTTTCATTACCTAGAAAATATCTAATTTAGCAGACATTGTTGACATCAACATAAAAATATCAGCCAATACAGTAATACCTCAGTTCACGAATGATTCTGTTAGCAAAATTTTGTTTCCATTTTTGAATTCTGCACTGGGTGTTGAACATGACCGTCTTCCCCCCTTTGGCACATAGTTATGGCTCCCTCCAGTCAAGATTGCGGTTGCAGACAAACCTGTGCACACTTGCTGTGAAGCTTTTTTATGTGCTTTTTAAGCATGTGCAGTACTGTACCATATTGCTCAATCCAACATGGCTCCAGAGAAAATACAGAGCAAGCGTGATGGTAAAAACAAAGTACAGAGCAGTAATGAAGGTGATAAGAATGTGCAAAGCAATAAGAAAGTGCAGAGCAAGAATAGTGAGATTTTGAAGAAAATAAACATTGAATTGAAGGCAATTGTAGAAAAGCATGAGTGTGGTATTCATGTGACTGATCTGGCCTCGAAGTACAAGATGGCGAAGTCAATCTCAACTAATTTTTTGTTTTCTTTTTTCATTTTCATTAAGTTTATTGGTACATTTTAGGTATAAAATACAATTACATTCCTCATTGGGATCTTGTACCTTTACATGGTGTATCTTATTCTTATTTTTTCCCCTTTCCCAGCCCTCCCTTCACCCCCTCCACCCTTCCCTATTTACAGAGACTTTGTTTCCATGTTTTTCCTTTTCTCATATTTTTTCTTTTCCCTTCTTTGCTTTCCTCTACCCCTCCCATTTCCCCTACTCCTTTAGACCTTTTCTCCTATTTCACATTATCAGTTACACCATTTGAACCTTATTTACACTTTTAGTTTTTCACACCAGAAAAACTATTCAGTATTTACATGTGTGTCCTATTTATTTCACTTAAGAGTACAGCCTCAATGTGCATCCATGTAGCTATAAATATCTCTAGCTTCTTTTTCTTTATGGCCGAGTAGTACTCCATTTTATTAAAAAACCCACATCTTTATCCAGTCTTCAGTTGATGGGCATTTGGGCTGTTTCCAAGTTTTGGCTATTACAAACTGTGCCGCTATATCAACCACAGTTTTTTGAAGAATAAAGATGCCACCAAAGGAGATGATGTGGCAAAAGGAGTTAACCAAGTAGAGGACACGAGTGCTGGAAGAGATGAAAAACTTTTATGAGTGTGGATGAATGAGAAACAGATGGCAGGTGATAGCGTTAGTGAAACTATGATCTGTGGAAAATGCTAGAAGATTGCAAAATGATTTACTGCAAGAAAATCCCTCTACAAATACAACAAGTGATGAATTTAAAGCTAGTAGAGGGTGGTTTGATAAATTCCACAAGAGAAGTGGCATCCATAGTGTGATAAGACATGATGAGGCTTCTAGTTCTGACAAGCCCATTTCAGAACCCTACAAAAAAGAATTTGCAGAATTTTTGAAGGCAGAAGGATACATCGCTCAACAAGTGTTTAACTGCTATGAAACAGGGCTCCTCTGGAAGAAGATGCCGAACAGAACTGATACCATGCAGGAGGAAAAGGCACTGCTGGGGAACAAGCCCATGAAGGACAGATTGACCCTTTTGCTCTTTGTGAACACAAACCTGATCTGAAGATTAAGCCACTACTGATGTACCATTCTCAGACCCCTTGTGCATTCAAGGAACAGAATGTGAACAAGGCCAGACAACCTGTCATGTGGAAGGCCAGTGTAAAAGCTTGGATCACAAGGCAGTTGTTTATGATGGGATAGCTGCACAAAGTGCTTAACCTATAAGAGAATTGTGCCCCTTTCTTTTTAAAATTAGATGTTTCCAGTTAATTGACACAAAAGAATTGTACATACTTATGGGGTATGGTGTGACATTTCAGTACATATGTATGTATGTATATACATATGTGTATATGTTTGTTTTGTTTTTTGTTTTTTGGTACCGGGGATCAAACTCAGGTTCTTGCGCTTGCAAGGCAGGCGGTGGAACCACCGAGCTAAATCCCCGCCCTGTGTGTATATGTATGTATAGTGATTAGATCAGGATAATTGAATGCCTTTCTCTTTTTCATTACCTTTTTCTTTCTACAAAGTCATAGACCTAAAGCAGTCTTTTAGCTTGGGCATGGGGTTATATGCTTATACAACCCCAGCACTCTGAGAGGCTGAGGTAGGAGGAGTTGGGCAGCTTGGCAACTTAAGTGAGACATTGTCTCAAAATAAGAAATAAAGGGGGGTGTGGCTCAGTGCAGAGGCCCTGGGTTCATTCTCCAGTACTTTCCCCACCCCCAGCCATCACTTCTAAGAAGTATTTTCTGATTATAACAATCTGTGTGTATTTATGTTGTCTAAATATGACATTTTGGGGTTCTCATATACTCCTCAAAGTAAAATATCAAAGTTTCTAGAATATGGAGATGGTTATGTTTTATTTTATGAATACTACATAGCTAGCTCACATAATCTTTTTTTAATTTAGCCAAAGAGAAAGCTACTTACTATATATAAGTAGAAAAGATTTGGAAGGCAGAGGTTATTGTTTAGGGAAATATGAAGAAAGGATATTTGGATAAAATTTGATATCTGATCTTTCTTAGATTTTACTTTTCTTAGTTGCATATTTAATTGCATTGATCATTTTATAGCTAGTTTTACTTTTTTTTTAGTCAAAGATTTCAATAGGATGGATAAGTAGGCCCTCTATCTATCTAGTCTTTAAAAATCTCTTGGTTCAATACACTATAATTAGTTTTTGTTAATTAAATCACTCTCTCTTTTTCTTTCAGATTGAGGTGATGCCATGCAGGAAGAAGTGGAGAGATGCAGAGGTCGAGCCAAAAGGCCTGACATGGCACTTTATGTACCTAAAGCTCGTAGGGGTACAGTACTCCCCAAGACAGGTGATAAGGAAAAAAGCTGTGGTCCGCCTAACTCTGTGGTAAAAGAACAACCAAAAGAAGGTTGTCGTTCCCAAAAGGAGATCTTTGAAGACAAACTTGAGGCTCAGAGACTAAATATTAACCCTGATAAGAAGCAGCATAATTGTAGAGAAGGGAAGAAATCTTCAACAAAATTAAGAAAAGACACATGCCTTCATAAAAGGAATAAAGACAGGGTTTATACTAAGAGAGGACTCACAATATCCAATGAAGTATTATCCCAAGAACATCAGCAAAGAGTCCCAAATTCTGAGATTATGCCTAGAGTGCCTTTACAGAGATATTTTAAACCAAAGACAATGGAATGTTTAGAGGTTCACAATACAGATGTGACAGCATATGAAGGAATACTTCTATCACAGTCTTGTTCAAAAATTAGTGAGGCTAATCAGGTTCTAAGCAGACCATTTCAGAATGTAGAATTCTGTGATTTTAGTAGACATGACCTAAGTGGGGAAAATTTTGAAGACAAAGATTTGGGAAGCCGAATTAAAACTGATACCAAAGTTGTGGAGATAATAACCCAGTTTCCTAGAGATTTTACTGCTGGATTAAAACCTGAGAGTGTGATTGCACCAGCAGAACTATGCTTGGATTCTGAACTTACACAGCAAAGTGTGCAAATACAAGATGGAACATTGAAGCCCAGCAATGAAAGCATCACTGCTATTTCTGTTTCTGGAAGTCCAGATATTGTCATTGATCAGACTTGTGTAGACTTTGAAGTTGAGAATGTAGGTGGTATAGCCAACAGTTCAGGTTTCAGCTTGGATTGGAAAGGTATAGATTCTATTCCTGAGACTATGGGTCACATCTCTCATAAAATGACTACGGTCAGCAAATTAGAGCACACAAATGGCATTGATCTAACAATGATTAGAGGACGTGAGGAGAATGGCAGCACTGCTGATGGGTTATGTAGAAAGGATGAACCTTCTGATACAGCGGTCCTTGCTTGTGAAGCGGATAATGGATCTAAGAGTGTAGATGACATTACTACTAAGGCATGTATGATGGACATTACAGGTGCCACATGCAGTCATATAGCTGTAGGTAGTCCTTATGTAGTTCGACTAGCTGATACTTATAGCGATACAAGTAGATTCTCAAAATACATAGAAATGAGTGGAGACACAGCGCCTCTTGATGTAGTTAGAAGTGAAAATGACTCTGAAAGTTTCAGCAACCTGACTGCTTGCTCAGATACTCACACTGAAAGTATTTCATCTAGTTTTACAAAGTCAACAGGAAAGTTGATAGACAGTATGTCAGATTGTGCTTCCTCCCCTATAAAGACGATTGCTGGCAGTAATTATAACAGTTTTTTGGACTCTGAAATACATATGTCAAATGGGACAAAAGAACTTTCAGGGAGTGCCTTGGGCAATGATCTAGATATTACTGGTAATGTATCAGAGGCATTACATGAACTAAGAACTGCTAAAGAGTTCAAAACAAAAGAACAAGATGACTCAGAGACTATAGAATTTGGTGTATCATTTCCTGTTAGAGCATCATCTATGGAAACATCTGTGGAACTAAAATCAGCTGAAACTTCTTACATAGCAGAAAGTACTGCTGCAGAGGAGAGCTGGGAATCTATGTTTAATGATGATGGTGACTGTATAGATCCACGTCTTCTACAAGAGGTATGTTCCCTTGAAATTGCTTGGTTTTTAGACAGTTTATAAATTTGAGGAACTTAGATTTAGAGGTAATTTTGATAGACCTTTTTTGTTATGTTCACATCACACGTGATGTGAACACTCATCTTAAGGGTTCCTACAATAACCTAATAACCTAATAGGATTGTAGATTGAGAAAGGAATAGATATTTAAGTTAAAACATATAGAATTGAACTGTAATAGCCCAGTCCTGAGAAATTTACTGAATAGCTTAAAAATGAATTTAATAGATTTAATGAATTCTGGCTATCTGTTGAGGAAATACACAGGGAAACTTCTTCAAAAGGATTTTTCTATATTGACAAGATATGTTTCACATGAGCCCATTTGAGGAGAGGAGGATAACTGTTACTCATATTTACTTTTCTTTAGTGGATGTTGGTATGTTGTTAAACAGTGTAGAGCAGGCATGTCCAACTTGCAGCCTGCTGAGGTTTTTTTTCCCCTGCTGGGTTTTTTGCCCTTGTTCTTTTGAGTAAAGAGGAATTGTCTTAGGCCACATATAAAATATATAATACAGTTAATGTATATAAGTAATAAAACTTCCTTTAAAAATTTTTTATTATAAAGGCAAAAACAGTCCAAAAATTAAATACACCTGCTATAGAGGGAAGGATGTAGAGAAGGGAAGGGTAGAAGACAGTACGGCTATTTTTTAAGGAATTTATATTAAGGGGCGTAACAAATTTTGTCATAAAGGTGCAGAAACTTGGGTACATTATGCCCACGTTTATTTAGAATATTTCAGTTGATGAATTATTAATTTTAATTTTATGAGTTTTATATTAAGCAATGGGTACTTAACAGGGAAAAAATATCAAAAAATAAAGTATTGAAATTTTAATATTGAGTGTTAATAAAAAATCATCAAAATTTTCAACATCAACTTTTTTGGTGTACAAAGTCTAAAAGTAACAAATAAATTCCTATATGAACTACAATGAAAATACCAATAGGACTCTATAAAAGAAAACTTAATTATCACACCCAAGGCAGTCTTCACACATGACAGTAGCACATTCCATATACACATATCACTTATACTGACAGCTCATGTGTTTGCTTTCCTAGCCTTTTTGTAGGATGTACTTGACATCTTGCTGTTCTTTTTTTTTTGGTACCAGGGATCGAACTTGGAACCTTGCACTTATGAGGCAGGCGCCAGAACCACTGAGCTAAAACCCCGGCCCCTGCATCTCACTGTTTTGTCTGGTCTTGCTGTTTTTTGGTTTTTTTTAATACTTTATTATCAAACACACACACATACAAAAATTAAAACCATTCAAAGAAGAACAATGCAAGGGGAAAAAAACTACAATAA